TGCTACATTCTGAAATGCCACTTTGACAGCTGCTTTCAAAAGGTTAGTATACATGTGTGAGGTTTGGATGGCAAGAGGGTAAGGTGGCGGTGGGTAGGGAGTAGAGTGCCAAGTTCTGTGGTCTCCCTAATTTTTATTTTACTGTGCAACATTCTGAGGTCTTTGTGGGTCAGTATCTTCTGGAGCTGGAAGTCAATGTGACAACAGACCAACTGGCATGTGCGAAGCTTCAGCTGCTGCACATATTCCCCTCACCTTCCTTCTCAGCATTCTGCAGGGACCTGAGACACCTTGGTCCACTCCTCCTCCTCCACTTCAGTACTCGCCACAACCCCACAGTACCTTCCCATGCAATTGCAGATGATGTAGTGCCTGCCCATTTACTTCCTCCCTCCTCACTATCCAAGGCCCCAGACACAGCTTCCAGGTGAAGCATGATTTACCTGCACTTGACCCCACCTACCGTATTCACTGCTCACAATGTGGTCTCCACACTCGGGGGACAAAACAGGGACTGGGGGACTGCTTTGCGGAACACTTCTGCTTCGTCCGTAAAAATGACCCTGAGCTTCTAGCTGCCTGGTCACTTCAACACACCAATGTGTTCCCATGCCAACATCTCTCTCTTAGGCCTGATGCTATGCTCTAACTAGGCTCAACGCATGCTGAAGGAACACCACTTTCTCTGCCTAGTTACCTTACTACCTTTAGGGCTCAACACTGAATTTTAGCAATTTCTGAACGTGAACAGCCTCCATGTTCATTACCAACACCACACCCCCAGGTCCTGTTCTGCTGGGCTGTTCCCAGCACAGCCAACCCATTTTCAACAATTCACACTTACTGTTAACACCTATTTAGCACTTACTTTATCTTCCAGTTTACCAGCAATCCCTTTGCTTCTCACATTTTTCCCCTCTCTCAAGTCACCACGGTTCCATCTATTCGACTCACTTCTCCTCCTGACACACCCCCTCCCTAACTCTTCCAGCTTTCAGTTGTGAAGAAGGGTCACTGGACTTGAAACATTAACTCTGCTTTCTCTCTGCAGGTGCTGTCAGACCTGCAGAGTTTCTCCAGAAATTTCCGTTCTTGTTTCAGATAGAGTCATAGAGCTGTACAGCATGGAAACAGACCCTACTATCCAATTCATCCATACCAACCAGATATCCTAAATTAATCCAGTCCCATTTGCAAGCATTTGGCTCATATTCCTCTGAGCCTTTCCTATTCAGATATCCATCCAGATCCCTTTTAAATGTTGTGATTGTACCAGACCCCATCAGTTCCTCTGCCAGCTCATTCCATACATGCACCACCCTCTGTGTAAAAAAGTTGCCCCTTAGGTCCCTTTAATATCTTTCCCCTCTCACCTTAAACCTACACCTTCTAGTTTTGGACTTTCCTACCCTGGGGAAAATACCTTGGCTATTCATCCTGTCTGTGCACCTCATGATTTTATAAACTTCTTTTAGGTCACCCCTCAGCCTCCGATGCTCCAGGGAAAATAGCCCTAAGCCTATTCAGCCTCTTTTCTCCAGCATCTGCAGTTCTTTGTTTTAAGGAGTTGGGGAATGTGGGTCCAGCTACAAAAACTGTCAAACACAGTTTAAAATATCTAGTGCAATATGAGTTTTTTCTATAGAGATTATATATTACAGGCATTCAGCTGCATCATTACCATTTCTTGTTGAAATGACATTTATTTGCAGCAATAATTCTGCCCCTCACACTCATGTAAATATTACAAATTGAAAGTGACATATATAGTCTTTTACGCATGAATGATTTGTGAAAAGTGAAGAAATGGAAAACACTATTATATAATACCAGAGATGGAGTAGGCAAAATACACCAACGTTTAAATAATAGACCAAATGGAAGAAAAAATATTGTCGAAGAATTGCAATATCCATTTCACATTTTTCTGGAAAGTGTCAGTATATTTATTATATGAAGAGAGATTGAGCAGTTTAGGCCTATACTATCTGGAGTTTAGAAGGATGAGAAGAGATCTAATTGATATACAAGATGCTGAAGGGCATTGACAAATTAGATGTAGATAGGCTGTTTTCTCATGTGGGCAATCTAGAACAAGCAGTCATAGCTTTAGACTAAGGGGTAATAGATTTAAAACAGGGATGAGGAGAAATTACTTCTCCGAGTCATGAAACTGTAGAATTCACCATCCCAGAGTGTAGTGGATGCCAGGACATTGAAAATCTATCCTGTTCTTAAATTTACTCAATTAGTAATGTGCTGAAGATTATGGAAAGTGGGCAGTAAAATGGAGCTGAGGCTGAGATGAGATCAGGCATTATTGTATTCAATGGTGGAACAGGATTAAGGGGCTGAATTGCCTACTCCAAGTCTTATTATTTATGTTTTGTTCTTAAATGGAATACAATCTCCCATAGACTTATTAACCCCCTATGTACTGTGAAAGAATTAAGAGCTCCAATATAATTGTAACTGACTAAATCTTGGATATGTGTTCCTTTTTGTTGCAATATTTTCTTGTGGAACAGCAATTATTTGCATAGGATAGGTAGGATATTATCCACTTCAAAAATGATTGTTCAGCGCTGCAACGATGGAGGTTTAATCTTTCGGGTGAAATTTTAAGCCAACGTCCCTTCTGTTCTCTCAATTAACACCATGTCCTTTTTGTTCTAGGAGTTCATCATGAGCAAATTGACTGTCAAATTTCCCACATTATAACCATGACTATGTTTCAAATTTATTTGTTTTTAATGTGCTTTTCTTACTTTGTAAATAAAAATCCATCAAAATTAAAAAAGCTATCATGCTATCTAAATGGACACTCTTGATTTGTGCCACTTCAGAATTCTATTAACTAAGTGAGAATCACTGGTCTGTTCAGTTCTGTTCTCAGCCAATATTCAGTTCAGGTTGACTGCATCCTGCTATTGAAAGCCCTGCACCACTCTTGCTGAAATTACCAATATCAGCCTGGACTGACAATCAAATTTGTGAAAATGAAACAAAGAACTGTGGATGCTGGAGATCTGAAACAGAAACTGAAATTGCTGTCGAAACTCAGCTGGTCTGGCAGTATCTCTGGGAGAAAGCAGAGTTAATGTTTTGAGTCCGGTGACCTCTTCATCAAATTCGTGAACTAGAGTCTTCACCTCTACATTTTTAAGCCTTTTTGTCAAAACAATTAAATTGCAGACTATTGGATGCATGACAGTGCACCAGTTTTACAACAGGCTTGTCTGGAGTATGAAATGGCCACATTACGACAAATACAGCCATTCCTTTCCTTCTTGGACAATAATACACACTTTCATTTTGGAGTCCTCCATGCAGCAACCAAAACCTCTATTTTGTAATTTTAGTTCACGGCATCCCTTTGGAGCAATCCCTCATTGCATTGAATTGTATATTTTAATTGTAATTACAGCAGTTAAACAGACATTTAGATAGTTAAAAAGAAATTTACTTTAAAATCAAAATGGATCAATTTTCACCAACATGCATAGTGAAACCATCCATTTGCAATGAATGCAATACCAATTTCCCCATGCAATCCAAAAATTGTAATGTTAACACCAAAGAAAGTGAGACCCATAATGTTTGTTAGGGAGACAGTGGATGTTAAACCACCCAAATAATCTCAAGACCCCAAAATGATGATAGTGTAGAAAAGGAAAGGAAAGATATTAAAATTAGCCCTGCTGGCAGTTCAAGGGTTAATTTTAATTTAGGCCAATTCCATAGCCATTTGGCAGATAAGATGCTTTGAGAATATAACTTTTAGAAGGTCATACTTGTTTAGGATGATCCTCCAAGTTTTCTTCCTCCTGGAATAAGTGAGATGTGAAGTCAGTATCCTGGTTAGCACCACATCAGCTGAATGACAATCCTCAAAATGTCAGATAAAAAGTATTTTTCTCTTCAAATTATTATGCATCAACACCATTTCATACATTTTCAGTACATACAATATAGACCTGGTTGACAGGAGTCAGAAAGAAGCGCATGGAAGGCAAGAAAGAAATGACTGGAAACATTTCCTAAGCCTGGGCTACTACTTGGCACTATTTTTTGGCCAGCTAAAGCAGTAGCTAAAAATTAGTGG